TTATTTAATAGTAAATTCTTTATCTTTGAATCTTCTTTTTCTATAGTTTTCTCAAACGTCTTTACTTGAAAATTCTACCCTTCAAGGTTTTTAATCATAGCCAATTTAGTATTGAGAAGATGATTTGTGTTGGTAATAATATTATTATTATTTTTTTTTTTTTGATACATCAGAGATTAACCACTCTGCAATGTTGCAGTCTAGGGTTGTAAATTAGTTTATATCAATTTAACCAACTACTAATTTTATCGCAGTCTAGGGCATGGCAAAATTGCCAGGAAAACGGGAACTACAAGCATGTTTCGTCCTCCCAAACCAATTATCAAAATACCGCATTTCATACAGTACCAGCAACATATTTTGATTGCGAAGCTCAAACCTTTCCACCCTCATGGATTGCAAAATTCTTATAAGCAACTTTGACTCATGCTCGTCAAGACATACCCTGCAAGAGGGTAGGCTCGCAGCTGACTTCTTTAGCAAAATGGGGCATCTGCATCATGCTCACACTGGAACAACAGATTTCGGAGGCCCCTCCTGGCTTATCCACCATCATCCTCGGTGACACCACGGGAATTCCCTTCCCTAGATCCTAGAGTCATAACTCTTTCACGCTGTGATATAATAAAACAAGAGATTTCACTTACCGAACGGTAACAATAAGACCAAAATTTCAGCCAGGATGAGAAGGAAACAGTCAAGTCCCCTGAACTGAAACCCTCTCATACTTTGTTATCGCATTCAATTCTGTCATCCTTTTTTGAAAGAATGATTTTTGCAAAATTGCAATGAATACTACCAAATACTAAGGGAAAAGCACGAAGTTAACAACAAAAATGCCACACATTTACTGCAATGAAAACAAAATCACATTATATAATCCTCGAACATAGTTCAACAACACTTAAGACAAGTAGATAAATCAGTATCAGATGACAAAAACAACTTAAAAATCCATTTGAGTTTCCAACACTCTTCTTCCCCTACATAATTCCTAATCACTTCAGATTTACTTCTCGGATGAGTTGGGTCCCCTCTTCTTTCCAAATCCAACAACTGCAAGCCCCATAAACATACATTAAACATCAGAACAATAACAAAATTCAGATAAAAGAATTCACACACTTAACAGGTTTATATATAAAAATTTTAACCCAGATTCAAACAATTTGTTTCAAATTTTCAGAAAAGAATAGCATTTGCATTTATTCCAAACAATAAGACATACAAATGGTCTGTTTCTATATTGCAAGTTCTGTATCAAAACCAAAACCCTAAACAAAATTCCACTACCAAAATAAGCATAGCTCAAATATAATGGAATTCATGAAGTTAAAATGATGAATGCCTCTAGATATTAGTCTACGATCCCATAATTAAGTTAAAATTTTCCGTTTTGACAAGAGAAAAAGCTGCCGCCCAAAACGTACAGCTCAAATCCCATAGTTTAAGTTCTCATTCTCTCTTTTTTTTTCTTTTTTTTTTCTTTTTTTTGGAAATAAGAACAGCTCAAATCTAGAACAAACAGATCTTAGTACAGAATCCAAGATAAACAAGGAGATCGGCAATAACCTGTGGTGACGAAGCGGCGGTTGTACTGCATCCGCTTGTGGGCGCGGCCGCGTGGCTTCTTCTTCTTATCCTGCTTCGCAACTTTGGGGGTTTGCCCTCTGACCTTACCGGCACGAGCCAAAGATCCATGAACCTTACCTGAAAATCCACCGTTAAAGGATGAGATTTAGGACAGAGAACGAAACGAGTAATTCCAGAAAAGATTCTAAGATTATCCGGAGAAGATGGATTTACCCATGGTTTGTCGTTGAAAAACTAGACTGCTCCCGGCGCTGAGAAGTGAGTTTCTCTCTCGGGTTCGCTTCAGGTGGTGAGCAAAAGACAACGAGGGTAGGGTTAGGGTTTTTGCGATGAATATATAGCGTGGTGGGTGATGGAGATGGCGCCGGTTTGGTTCGAGCCCAAAAGTTATTATTTGGGCCATTTAAGAGTTACTGGAAGTTATTTACAGGCTGTATCAAGTTCATTGGGCCAAGTAATGAGAGTTCTGGCTAGCCCATTTAAGGGCTCAATATTTAATAAAGGGTTTTTTTTTCTAATAATTGTTATTAAAAAAATAAAAATTTACCTTTATTTAATTAACTATCTAATTAAAATATTTAAGTACTATAAGTGATGAAATTAATATCAAATTTGTCATTTTTAATGTTAATTAATGTAAAAAAAAGTGTATTAATTATACCCGTAACTTGTGGAAGAAAGGTAAAGATAATGAAGCAGACTTCTTAATATTTTTTATTTAAAAATTCTAATTTTACATTTTTTATATAAAGTAATAAACTTTTAACTTTTTTATTTAAAAATTCTAACTCTACATTTTTATTTAAAAATTAATTGGATGATTAAAAAAATCATTTGCCATATGAAAATCACCATCAAATTAAGGCTTAAATAGAGAAATGCAAAGTTGATATTCTTAAATAGAAAAAATACCAAGTTAGAATCTTTAAATAAAAAAATTAAAAGTTTACTAGTTTATTTAGAACCAACAAAATTTATATTTTTAAATAAAACAAATAACAAAACTCATATTTTTATTTACGCTAGAGCACAGATTAAATAATCTCTTTAACAAAAGATGACAATTTAATATGAGTTTAGTGTTTTGTAATCTATCCACCTTGACTTCATGATAAGTGAGATCTGCCACTAGCACCATAAGGACCCTAATAATCACGACTGATGCCTTTAAAGTGCAAGATGGACGGCAAAATAATTTTTTTGTTTTAATATTATATTTTTATGAGACATTTTAATAGGAAAAGAGGTGAAAATTAAAATATTTTAATATTTTAAATGCAAGAATTATCTTATAAATTTTCTTACATGTTAATTCATTAGAAGTATTTAAATCTTTTTGTTATCAATCTTATCATTTTAATTATCAAAAACATCTCTATTTTTTTCAATCTCCTTTAATATTCTTTTGGTACACTTATAAGGGCTCATATATCATGCAGTAGAGCATCTGCAATTTTCCAAATCCTTTGTCTCTCGTTCTAAATTTTCAAGTTAGCTTTACCAACATTTAGAAAATAAATATGGTTAGCCAACCCTTCCATCCCCTCACGTTGCTTTTCCCACACCTCCCATGGTATTTTAAGTATTTTTGCACTTGATAAATTTTTGAGAATTGATTTCTTATAAAAAGCAGTAAACATTCACAATGGTATTTCACAAAAAGAATAGGAACTTGCAATTTTAGAAAAAATTATTACTTTATATAAACAATTTGAAAATTTTGAAAGAGAGAAGAGGGGAGCGATGAAGATTTTGGTAAAAGTCGATGGAGCTTAGTTATA